ATAACTTCTCAATGCACATATCACAATATTACCCTGATTAAGGGAAGAGAACATGAATAGAGTTAAGGTAAGTGTAGAAATGTGTTAGAATACATAAAATTGTTGCGGTAAATTGTCATAAACATAAGTCAAAGACTTTTGCAGCTTTTTCCCCTATGGTATGGGGAGAGTTTAATGTCCTCATTTCCTCTTCAAAGTTATGTTCCAGAACAACAGTAATCCAGAGTAATTCACACATTTTCTGATATGTCTATTCAATCAGTTAATTCTCAATCAGCCAACGAATGTTCATTTTATCCATAAAGACATACTGAGAAATTATTGTGTCCGTGAGATCAAGACGAGATATACCCATGATGTTACCTGAACAAACTATTACATATAAAAAAGAAAAAAAGGAAAGACGAAAATGAGTTTAGCCTGGCATTTCTTTTATTTTTGAGACAATAGAAGTAATCATTGAATTGTGCTTTTCTCTGTCATCTGTTAAAAATCATTTCCACCTGACGTTGGGTCTATCCCTTATTTCTTCTTATTCGAAGCAGAACTAAAACAAAAGTGTTTTGTTCTCCGTATCATTTTTGCAAATTTTAATTTTGAGTTTCTGACTATATTCTTACAGTTTTATCTGCTTTTCAAATTTTTAAAAATTACATTGGTTTTTCCAACATTTACCAAAGTTTTTCTCTTTTAATTTAAGCTGTATCCCTAATACAAAGAAAATGCCTGCTATGAAGGAAGTCAGTGCTCAATAAATCCCTCTGTGAGTGAGTGACCAAATGGCTCGCCGGAGAAGATCCATGTGCTTTCATGCTGTTTTACATCTTTCTCTTTCTTTCCCCCACTTGTCATCATTTGCAATTATTTCTTAGCTAGCCCAGTAGCAAAATACATGGAAGACCTTTAAAGGCTTATAAAAACTTTTCACAGCATATTTAAAATTTCTAGAATAATAGAAAACAATTTACTTATTTTATTAAGTTTTTATTAAAAGAGCAATTCTTATCCATCTTAGATTTATTTCTATGGCATTAAGGGTCCTGCTTTAGTATATGCATTAAAGTATAACTCAAAATTGGTACTTACTCCTTTTCTCAATTTCTATATGAATGCATAACAATACTGAATTAGAGTATAATTTAGGCTGCCAGTTAAAAAGAAAATAATGATTATAAAAATTATAAAATAAACCTATTTTGGTGCTATAGAATAAATGGCAAATTAGAAATAAGTATTGATGGTGTGCAAATAAAAACAAACAAAACAACTTTTAACAAAATTTTCATAATCAATTCATGGAATAAAGAGATCGGATAACACTGAATGTCTGATGTCACATCAGTTAAA